CAATAAACCCCTCCTTGTATTTCACACTAAGTGCCATGATAACGGCACGGCTCCATGTGGCGTAATTATCCTCAACAAGCATGACTGAAATGAGCTGCATTCCAGTGTTGTCATCGTAATGTAAGTAGAATGGACTATTTGGATCATTGACCAATTTATTCATCATCGAAATCATATTTTCAGTAGCTGTGTCTCCAGCAATTCGATCGACTGGGGAATTAACATCGATCTCTGCTTGAACATCAGAATCCTTCGCCATTATCGTGCGGAAGTTTCAGTGCTCTGATACCATAATAAAATGTAAAGAACGAAGGAAACTGGAAGCGGGAAGAAGAGAGGGAAAATCTGTTTGCTTAATTTTTTTTTTTTACAGAGCTGGAGTGTACCAGCAGGTATATATATACACATTGACTCCTCTAACAGAAAATGGTTAGAATGTACAAAGACTAATTTGCCCCTATTATTTACAAAGTAATTCAACAAAAGTTGAATCTATAATTATTTATTTACTGTCTTGTAAGTTTAGTAGAATCTATTGTAGAGGTCGAATTGTATGACCCCTCCTAATTTTATACTTATTCGTTTATTATTAATAACATTATACACTCACCTAATTTTATATTTATACTTCCATTTGTAATTTAATACCCTTGCTTTTTCTATTTTTCTTGCGTTTAAAATTCGTCAAGGATCAGATCAGGAGAATTTGGACTTTTCATGAATGCCTTTAACCGTCTAACAATTCTATCACAACTAGCCTTGGTTCCCTATTCCCTGAATACATCTTCCCATGTTGCATCATGCCTTCACGCATCAATGTAACTTGAATACTTGAGTACGTAATTTACATCTATTTTAACACGATCAACACAATTGATATGTTTCATAATAGAGAGAAACCAAGTTTAAGAAAGAGACCGCGGACTCATAGATGATGGATTAGTTGAGAAAACACATTGGCTCGATTACAAAGAAATAACAAACACTACGGACCGTTTGACGTGACTTTTGAAAAGTCAAAAAGAACTTTTGATATTCAAAATTTGCCTTTTTACTCGTTTGATTAATTTTATAAAAGCACTTCTTCTAATTAAATGAATCTTTAGGGAAGTTATCCCAATGTGATTTCCTCAAAACTCTTCCATAAGAGAAATCTTTTTTAGAAATTAGTATTAAGCTCCAATTAAGGTAACTTTCTCAAGAAACTCTTCTACAAGAAGTAAAAGCCTGCCAAACAAGCCCTACAATTGTTTTTTTTTTAAATGCGATTTAATCTTATTCAATTCCTAAACGCTTGAATTTTTTATTTCCTCTCTTTCGTCTTCCATTGGCGCGCTTTATTAAAATTTTTATTTATTTATTTTAAAATATTTTATTTGACTTTAGTTTATTAAACTTTTTTTTTTAAAATCATTTGATTTCAATTTCAAGTTTTTAAAAGGCTTTATCTGTACAAAAGTTAAATATAACTTTATTCGATAAAGAGGTATATAAGATTAAGTTACGGTGCTATCTGTATATGTAACTATGATCTTGAGACTAGTTATTTTGTCGAAAATTTCGAAAACATATATAAAGTTTCTATAAATCTATATATCAAGTAGGACTTATTATAAGAATTATTAAGCAAATATAGTATTTTATAATTTTAGATATTTGATATTTTTATTATTAAAGAATTTACAAAATGATTAAAAATTTAAAATAATATTAAAAAGAGAAAACGCTTTTTCACTCCTAGGCGTCGTTTAAGCTTGTAAAGCTTAAAACTTCGTGTCCACGACTAATCAAGCTTAAAACTTCGTGTCCACGACTAATCACACTTTACATTTATTAAATGCTGGTATAATAATATCCAAAGTGGTTGTCATTAGTAATCATAGTTGTCAGACCCGACCCGTAGTGGTGGCAAATGAGCCGAGCGGCTTGTCGGCTCGCCCGCTCGTCTCGTACTGTTCACGCCCACGAG